GCCGCCTGTGAACGTCCATTAGATTTGGTACAACAGTAATTCCAGTTTGACCACAATAATTGAATACATGGCACATCGTGCGATGTTCAAATGATTTAGCAGTAGAAGTATTGTTGGATGCTTCTTTGACACGAATAATGTGTGTTAAATGCCACGGTAATCCTTTTTTCCCAAACCAATCACTTTGCGGTTCTCTGTACTTCATTTGCAGCCATTTCATTGCCCAATCAATTTGAAGAAAAGCCTTAACAGGAAAACAAAATCAGTAAAACGAACAAATGACATTAATTTCATAGTAGTAAATTGTTCGACGAAATTTCCTTCCTCTTGAGTATCATCGATAATACAAATAGGCTAGGTCAGACGAAATTTCAAAAGAATCGAACTGAACCAAGACATTTGTACAACGGTGGAACACGAGAGTAAGGATTATCATTCTCTTTCAACTAACAACGGATCATATTCGGTTAAAATATTCATGTGGTATAAGTAAATCATACAATACTCATATATTAAGTCGCACAATACTATCCATACATAAGCTATGCTTGTTACATCTTCCATTAGTACTCAGGGCCATTCTGCTTTATATATATTGTAAATCAGCGTTCACGTATTCAAACCGATTCCCATTGCTGAAAAATTATCGGGTGAACTGCTGAAAGATGTTACTCACACTTGTTGCATCCAGCTGCCCGAGTACGTAGTCTTTTGCACCTTCTTGATGTACTGTTCGTAGTTGATGCTTCTTCCATTCCTGTATCAGTTCGTACTGGCGTTTGTAAATTGATTGATAGCGAGTGCGTTGATTATCCGGTAGATAAGTGTTGTTGTCAATCAATGATTTGATATGACTGAGAGTGGTGTCTAATAGAATGCAATCTTCACAGCTAGAATAAAGGGGAATAGCATTGCGTATTGAGAAAAAGAGACTTCTTTCATACAGAAACTATACAAGCACTAAATTCTATGAAAAGTAAAAAAAGCATTAATTAATTAGTATCGATTGGTAAAATTTAATAAATCTTATTATAGATGTTCACCTCTGTATGTATTCAAATCTGAAACGATGAACAACATTGAGAGAATATTTGGCTGAACCTATTAGTGGTTCTTCAAATAATCGAAATCAACTTTTCAAAACGGTAAAGATGCAAAGCGACCTTTAGTCGAAACAAAGAANTGCCCAACACCAGCAAAGCATAGGTATGGTCGTAATAATAAATTCAAACGCTTGTAACAGCAATTGAGTATATTGCTAGAAATGTCAAAATCTCTTTGAATAGAATTCAGAACCAAGCTTAAATGCATGTGAAAAGTATAGAACTTGATCAAACAAGTTGCTATACAATGGCTTTTCACAAGAATACGGTGCTGACGCACCTATCAGCCTAGAATTGCCAGACAGGCAAGAAATACACTCATTATTTTGATGATAGCGCAAGAATGGTAACAGCTATCGAGGTGGAGTTTTCAGCATTTGGTAACTGATAGGGTCTGATATATAACGCTTCAAAAGTTGGACATTCTATATACTCCAGAAGTCTAGGTGATATGACTACAATAGCAACTCGAATTATAATCGATGCTCTTTGCGTTGATAGACTAGACTCGCTTGTTAGTTGTACAATTCATGAAGGGTGTCAAATAGAAGCGGCTATTGCGATACTGTATAAGATTAGCAGAACGGTTTCTGTTTATGAGAAGCTATTTTAAGGCTGCATACTGTATGAATGGCGCTATAATGTAGTTATCATAATGAAACTATGAAATGAGTCAGATGTCGTCAGTTAATCGGGAAAAATTTGTTGAAAGCTTTTCAGATATCTATTCACCGAGCAACAACGTTGTATCAGATTATCGAAACGTGCGTATACATATGCCGATTCGAGATTTTTCAAGAGAAACGAAATCCTATCGATATGTGGACATATTGAAATGAGGTTAGAAGGTTTGTAAATTCTGAAAAGTTAATATTTTAGTGCGAATTTTTTATTCTTGTGTAGGCTTTTGCAGCACAAAGAGTATGTAATACTGTTTTAAAAAACAAAAGAATACGTCTTTACATGTCACGAACTGCTTCCAGATTGTAGAATACTCTCAGTCATTGAACATGGATGGCCAAGTTGATTGTTTTTCACCGCCGAATCAAAATCTTCGATTTGTTCATGTGAAATTTCATTCTCGTCTGAGTCGTCATCGTTTATAATTTTTTCGCTTTCGTTGACCGATGTATTTTTGTCGGCTACGCTATTACTGAAGCTGCTTGCGAGTGGTGTTGATGACTGTGATTGAGATTGAGTACACTCTTTACTTCGCTTTGCTTTCAGTTTGGAAATGTATGCTTTGATCTGTTCAGGAGATAAGAAATCATTTTCATTGAATCGTGGTTGTCCGTTTGAGTTGGCAAAAACCATTTCCTAAAATACATGCAAGACTGCCCATACAACACGCGAACAATCTGTATGAAATTTAAATATGTCTTCATTGAGAATAACATTTGGTTTCTTTTGAAGTAGCTTTGACTACTCAAATAACTATTTCAGATAGAGCCGATTTTGTTATTTATTCCGGTCTAATGTCGTCATAGCATACCTGAGATAATGCAGCAGGATCCCATTTATTTCCGGTAACCACACCTTCATTGAATGCACTCTCTAAGAAGTTTAACACGTCGATACTGTAGTGCGTGGGTGGTTTTTTCTGCGGCAGGGCCCAACCTTGTAATCGTGTAGTCGAGGTTGGTGATGTAGTCTTCGATAATAGACTATTGAATTGATTCAAAGAGAATGATACACGATTGCTATCGTTTTCGATTAGTCCCTTGTAAAATAATTTAGCTTTATCGATTAGCGGAACTGTTGTTGGTGCGAAGGTATGCTTTCCAATCGTTAGATGTTTGTCAAGGTTAAAATACCGGCGAAATTGTTTTACGCATTTTGGATGAGGACAGTCGAAAAGATTAAAACCGGAAGATAGCAGACGAGGTTGCAGAGAGAGCTGATCAACCTCCAAGTCGTTCTCCGCCGACGGTGTGTTGTTATTAGGATTTTCTTCGACGTCGTCGTCATTGTCATCGTCTGAAAATACGAAGTCGATAGCGAATGAATATAAAAAACGCCGAAACTTCTCAAAGCTAATTGTAAGCTGTCTACAAACAAAAAGGTTTCATTTCAGCATTTTCTGTTTGAATATTTTGTAAAAGAGAGCTCTGACAATGTTTGTTTCAAAAAATATGTATTTCTTCCACACATCCCATCTTACATGTACATATGTATATTTACCTGATACCGATTCAATGATATCGAATTCAGCCTAGTCTATGCGATCCAAGAAAGTCAAAATGTTAATTATGACCATGATGAACTCATTATCTTAACTCGTCTGGTGCATGTAATCTCTCTGTAAGTACTAAAATCTTAATCAGCCGAGACACGGCATAGCTTTTGCATATGAACTATCTTTAAAAGATGTTCCGCTCTGATTGAGTACTGACAGTGTTGTTTCTTTTCCAGTTTCTAGTTGTTATTTAAATGTTTAAATATCACTTCGAGCGTTTCAATAGTATTGACTGTTGACTTCAGATTAGAATATTTAACTTTTTTTCCGGCACCGACTTGAAACGCTCTCCAAGTTGTCATTGGAAGTTCGAATTCAGGTTGACTGTTAGCTGATACAGAATTCTTTGCACGGGTGACAGGTGAGATTTCGAATTCGATATTATTGTATTTTGTGATATTTGGTAGAGTAACTTTTTTCTTGTTGACGTCGGTAACATTGCAAGCGAAAATCGAAAGATGTTTGGTAGATTTGGCTGCATTGGCAAACCGAACGCTGTTGCAACAGTCAATTTTTTCGTTCACAGATCGTCGTGTTTCTCCCTTGATCACTGCAGCTTTGCGATCACATGGGCCTTTTCCTATGGAAAAGAATTTTTGTGTAGAAAAGTTAGGTAGTTCAGCAATAGATTAGTTGTTTTCATAAATCTACCTGTTTTTATCCTATCTTAACTTGAAGATTTCTCCCGACTCAAGATAAAAGATGAAAGTGTATTCCATGGCTATTTCTTCGCCTTTCTTGTTTAACAAGATCTGAAGAAAAAACTGAAAAAACCGTAGTCAGCATTTTACAGCGATGAAAGAATATCCAACAAGAATTTTATCTTAAAATTCTCAATGATAACTTGACAAAATACTTTAGTATAGTACTTGACTTATGCCTTAGACATCGCTCTTCTAGTTTAAATTTTGACGAATGAAATCGATCCTACCAATATCCATATAGTACTCATCTATAGTGTGTATATTAGTTCTCAAGCCTACACTGTTCTCGTGACGAGCAAGCATGTTATCACTCCAATTAAAAATATCTTCCATACCTGATTGTACCTCAGAGAAGTCAACACGACGTATTAAAACACCAGTTTCATCGTATATTTTCTTGATCGATAGCAAGAATCCAGAGCCATGATAGCAACCTGCATTGTCACATCTAAGATAAATCTTTTCAAGCTTTGGATTTTCCTGTTTAAGACGCTTGAGAACGTCTATTATAATAGTGACAACAGTTTTTCCAGTTTGACCACAATAATTGAATACATGGCACATCGTGCGATGTTCAAATGATTTAGCAGTAGACGTATCGGTGGATGCTTCTTTGACACGAATAATGTGCGTTAAATGCCACGGTAATCCTTTTTTCCCAAACCAATCACTTTGCGGCTCTCTGTACTTCATTTGTAGCCATTTCATTGCCCAATCAATTTGAAGAAAAGCCTTAACAGGAAAAACAAAATCAGTAAAATGAACAAATGACGTTAATTTCATAGTAGTAAATTGTTCGACGAAACTTCCTTTTTCGTGAGTGTCATCGATAATACAAATAGGCTAGGTCAGGCAAAATTTCAAAACAATCGAACTGAACCAAGACGTTTGTACAAGGATGGAACACGAGAGTAAGGATTACCATTCTCTTTCAACTAACAACGGATCATATTCAGCTAAAATATTCATGTGGTATAAATAAATAATAAAATACTCATATATTGAGTCGCACAATACTATCCATACACAAGCTATGCTTGTTACATCTTCCATTAGTACTCAGAGTCGTTCTGCTTTATATAGATTGTAAATCAGCATTAACGTGCTCAAACCGATTCTCATTGCTGAAAGATGTTACTCACACTTGTTGCATCTAGCTGTCCGAGTACGTGATCTTTTGCACCTTCTTGATGTACTGTTCGTAGTTGATGTTTCTTCCATTCCTGTATCAGTTCGTACTGACGTTTGCAAATTGATTGATAGCGAGTGCGTTGATTATATGGTAGATAACTGTTGTTGTCAATCAATGACTTGATATGACTGAGAGTAGTGTCTAATAGAATACAATCTTCACAGCTAGAATAAAGGGGAATAGCATTCTGTACTGAGAAAAAGGCTTCTTTCATGCAGAAACTATACAAGCGCTAAATTCTATGAAAAGTTTAAAAAAGCATTAATTAATTAGTATCGATTGGCAAAATCTAATAAATTTTATTATAGATGTTCAACTCCGTATGTACTTAAATCTGGAATGATGAAAAACATTGAGAGAATATTTGGCTAAACCTATTAGTGGTTCTTCAAATAATCGAAATAAACTTTTGAAAACGGTAAAGATGCAAAGCGACTTTTAGTCGAAACAAGGAAAATTATTGTTAGAGAGAGTAGTATTGCTATGAGGAAGTATAATAGTAAAATTAGCTTATACGGTAGCAGAAAATCCATTCGATTCAGCGAGCAACGGTCTTGGAAGCGCATATTTCTGATTTGCATCACGATCGAAATATACTGAAACTTCTTATTTTCTCAATATTATTTTCACTTTTGTCACGGTAAAAAGAGTTTTTGATCTTTCTTTTTGAGATAAAACATTTGCCTCTTTTGTTCGGTATCGGAATGACTACAGATGTGTTTGAAAAACTGTTGTTTCGTTTAAGCAAGAGATATACTCCGAAATCATTACTTACCGATCATTATGATCATGATCCTCACAAATATTTTGCCAGTCATTCTCACTTGGATCAGACAGTGCATAGCTTGAGCAATGATCAGGGACTGAAGAACTTTTGACAACATGTAGTTTGTACTCCAGCTTCAAATAGTTACGACATTGACGAAGAACTTTTTTCAATTGGCTTATCTCATCGACCGATACTCATTGATAAAAGAATGAATCTATAAAGAGTGCGCATATATAAGTGTAAGTACTTACGGAACGTAGCCAATTCTTCACAGACAGTTGTCAATATATCGAATGCATTGGATCCATTTGTAGAATAGGAATCAAGGCCTGCAAGGCTCTTCCTAATTGATGCAGATCAACCTTTGAGTATTTCAAATAGAGTGGTATCACCTAAGGGTTTAAAATTTCCATCAGTTGATTCTTCGCAGAAAGAGTAATATTGCCGGATGATGCGTGAATGTGTGGTGTTTCTGATAGTATTGGGAACATCGAGTTTTTCACCTGTTGTAAGCTTTAAATGCTTACTACCAAATGGTAGATCGACTGTAATCGCTGGTGAGAGAACAAATTCAATAAAATGGAGAACTTTAGACTCATCATAACGTTCTAATAGCATTGCTTGGTTTTGGAAAGGTGCTCCTCTTCCTAAAACAAGATCTTTTGTTCTCATTTACGACAAAAATACTTTCTTATTTACCTTTACTATAAGCATGTGCTCGAGCTTCTTTGATTAAGTCAGCTGTAATACCAGGGAAAAAAGCTCTAAGTGTTGATGCTGGAAAATCAGCGGCAACAATTGCGAGACTTTGGCGTTTTGTTCCAAAATGATCAGTGTTCGAGTAGACTTTCGAAAGTGATATCATTGCACTATTCATTTCACTAAAAATAAAATTTATGCATTCAAATTTTAAGAGACTAATGGTGTGAGGTATTTCGTCAATAATTTGCTTATTTCTTCCAGGAAATGAGATATTCAAGATCGACCGTGAGATACTTTTATTTAATTGATATAAAGTGTGAATTGTATATACATCGTACATGATGTCTTTTCTGAAGAAACAATAGGAAACGCTATACTTGCTGCTATACTTGAAACTGCGTATTTCTAATGATGAGCTACCATTTTTATATCAATATACTAGACTTAACATATTAGAAATCCGAACATTATCAATTTTACTTAGACTCAAATGCTCATTCGTGTGAAATATTAAGCAAAACTTCTCCTCAGCCCGATCATTCCGTGTCTAAATCACTGTAGATCTAAGTACGACAAGTATTTCAAGAGATTCTAGCTTTGATCTTCATGAGAATTCGATTGATAGGTGTCGATAATATCCTTCCATACTTCTTCAGCATCATTTGCGAGAAGAATTTTCAGTGTTTGAGTTTGAACGTTACGTAGGCTATGCTCAGTAAGTTTAGTGAAAGACGAGATTTTTTGTATTCGACCGGTAAATCTGGTTTCAACAAGACATCGTTTGAGTAGTTCAAAATAGTCTGGATGCCGAGAGTTCGTCAAATCTTCGAATTGTGGCTCATAATTGCTATGTTGTGACGCTGGTTCAGATGGACTGGGTAGATATACAATTTTTTGTATAGGAGATTTGGGTATAGGTTAAGTATTCAGAAGTATTATTTCATCTGTCCCTTCATACTTAAAACGTCAGCTGAGATGATCTCGACAGTCGCATCGTTTATTTTTCTGATTCCAGTTTCAAACTATGTTAAAAGAAATGATTCACTTCATGCACTCACCGAACCAATGCTCACTAGTAGAACGCATGGCATTTGTGTCATTCGCTCTGTCAAAATATTTTCGGCATATACTGCATACGGGTTTCGCGTATACAACCCACGTATACACCGGACGTCCTTCTTTCCATACTTGTAAAGCTAATGATTTAGTAACTGCTTGAAGATGAGTTGTTCTAACTGTCGGACATCCTCGGACCGTCTTGCACAGTCTACAGCTGTTGTTACGCTCACGGGATGTCAGGTAATCATAGTGATTTGTGCAGATTTTATATTGACATAAATTTGTATGTTGTAAATGAAAACAGCCGGCTCGGTACAACAAGTATTCGAGCATCGATCGGAACTCACTCGGCGGAGCTGTTCCGAACAGTAGAACACTAATTTCAGTTCGATCAGCATCATAAGATACCTAAATAAGAAGAACGTGTCGAATAGAGCATCATTGAGAATAAAACAGCTACAGGTATGTGATCGGCTTGGAAAAAGCATGGTGCAGTTGAGTAGTTCATTCTTTTGATGAGGAAAGTATTTGAATAATTTAGAGCCAAACGCAAAAACAATACAGGTTGTATTTGATCTAAATTCAACAATAGAACGATCAGTATTCTCACGAAAAGCATTTAGCTCGCAATAAAAGTCACAGAATTCGTTCGTGTTTTCGAAATTATCTTTAACCTACTCAAGGATTAGTCATATATGCATCTAGTACACGCTGCATGTATAAGATACAATATCTTGCTGTGCAGACGGATGTACCAGTTAAGAACTGTCAATCTTCTTTCAAATTTTATTCAATAGAATAAGGTTTATATAGATGTCGCCAGATATTCCTAGCTTCCAATCAAGCTGCGTATTGTCAGCAATCAAAGACACGGCTTTAGATGAACTGCGTCAGTTCGTTATCAATTATTCAGAATAAATAGTTCATTATTTTTCGAAAAGTAAGCATAAAATAAAATACAATCTATGTTCGATGAAATGATATATGTCGAAATGTTTTGTTTTTCTATTGTAACTGATTGATACTTCAGAATTTTATCCTGATTGTTCTCACTAATATTTAATGAATATCGCATTTTGTCGATTACTGAAAACTCCACCTCGATAGCTGTTACCATTCTTGCGCTATCATCAAAATAATGAGTGTATTTCTTGCCTGCCTGGCAATTCTAGGCTGATAGGTGCGTCAGCACCGTATTCTTGTGAAAAGCCATTGTATAGCAACTTGTTTGATCAAGTTCTATACTTTTCACATGCATTTAAGCTTGGTTCTGAATTCTANATATCAGACCCTATCAGTTACCAAATGCTGAAAACTCCACCTCGATAGCTGTTACCATTCTTGCGCTATCATCAAAATAATGAGTGTATTTCTTGCCTGTCTGGCAATTCTAGGCTGATAGGTGCGTCAGCACCGTATTCTTGTGAAAAGCCATTGTATAGCAACTTGTTTGATCAAGTTCTATACTTTTCACATGCATTTAAGCTTGGTTCTGAATTCTATTCAAAGAGATTTTGACATTTCTAGCAATATACTCAATTGCTGTTACAAGCGTTTGAATTTATTATTACGACCATACCTATGCTTTGCTGGTGTTGGGCACCCGTAGTGTCTCATACAAAAATGTGTGCCGGAACCAGGCCTAGCTTCGGTAAAAAATTCAGCGTAGGGTCTTCTACCGATCGTGAGAAAAGTCTAAAATACTACCCGACACTCACTTCACTTTTTTCATTTCTCAGTCAATATTTGGCGTGTAATACTTTTTTAACCACATATTATTAGCATTCAAATAGAGTCAGTTTTTAGACTGACACGTATTCTATCGAATGAGACGTTTCCGAGCTCAAACAATCAAGCCCTTCTCGAAATGATCCAACAATACTGAGATGCTATCAAAACAGCGATTTTCAATGGTAAAAAATAGCCCCAAAAACTAGGGTTGCCCGAATTTTTTTATAGGAAAGACCTATAAGTTTAATATTTTGCACTTTTTTATGGTTCTACTAGACCTTTCGTTTCACAAAATAAAATCGAAAAAAAAAATTTTTCCGCGGCGCGATATGCATAGAGTAGGGGTCTCCTCTGGCGGACTCTCTCTTAAGTTCGACTGCTGCAATCCAAAGTCTTATCATTGAGCTTTTGAATTTGACTGTTGATTGTGATCAGTGATATATTGGTCTGTATTTGCTAAAAGTTTGAGAATTATATGTAGTTTTGTTTCTTAGTTCGGCAGCGCCCAACAATGACATGTTTACCCACCCCCAAAACCCGTTTTTTTTTAAATCACGCAGTTTTCTTCTTATGTATGTTTTTCGTATTCAGCAGTTGACTAGTGTCAATAATGATCAGAAAAAATCAGATTCATTATACGAATTTCTGGCCCGAAACTACGAAACAATGAAAATATCGAAAAACTCGCGCAACCCACTAGCGGCGGTGCCAGGAATTTAAGCTAGGGTGGGCTCAGTATTATTAAATTTCTACACGCTGGAAATGCTAATCAAACCTGTGTTCAACTCTTCAGCTCATCAAAGAAATTTTTTCTATAGTAAAGAAACAATGTACGCGTATAAATCAAAAGAGCTTGACTATTTATTTTCAAACGTTTAAGATAATCCGAACATAACCAAATTCTGCTGTTCTTATGATTACGTGCGAATATACCTACCACCTGTTCATAATCTATAAGTATCTCACGCTCAATAGCCAAGACTGTTAAGTCACTGAGGCGAGCATTAGACATAGAATTACGAAGATAGTTCTTAATTATTTTCATCTTTGAGAATGAACGTTCGCAAGTCACTTGCGAAACTGGCATTGTCATAGCATTTTTGATCATCAGTATTGTTTGTGGAAATGCGGTAGAATATGGAATTAGTTCTTTGAAGAATTGAATAACATCATCGATTTTTTTCGCCTTGAACATTGATTTGATAACAGCAAATTCATTCTTTAAACTATTTGATTCAACATCGACATGACGACAAAATGCATCAACATCTTCACTACTCAAAAATTTTTCACTTTCAGGATAGACTGTAGACATACTCTACATTAATGTTAATGCTTTTATTGAAAATCTATCATTCAACTCTACCAGCATACAATCAATTAGAGGAAAATAAATCTGATTCATAAAATCGGTTGATGTAGACAATATTTCACGCTGTCCAATAGTTGAATTAACGAAACAATCTTTAAATCGATCTGGAATTTTAGTTTTACGATTTACATGATATCGCTGTACTAAATCAATTCCATTTGAGTTACAAAACTGTTTTGCTTCATCATAAATTTGCTTGTAAGATTGTTCGTTACGAAGATCAGATATTTGTTGAACAATTGATGATACAAGATGTTCACCACGTACATAATCGAGAGAAGAACCTTATGAAAGAAAAACAAGAATAGTTTTTCCAGATCATTAGTAAAGGTAATGATCTTACTTTTCAAATGATCACTTAATATTTTGATTAAACCAAATAGTTTATGAAGAATGAATGTTGTGATAATAAAAATAGATTTTTTCACATGCATTAAAAGTCCACCGCCATCAATTGAACGTTTTGCACTACCCTCTTCACTAACCCATGTAAAAAGAACCAAGAGAAAACCTGATTTTAATCGATTCTTCTATGATGAAAAATCGATTTAAATGACACGATTTTCATCTGATTGTCATCAAATTTTAAATCGAAAAAAAATCAGTTAAGATCGGTTATTTTGGAGAGAATAGCTTTTAATAGATCTGCTTTGCATTATCTGATTTTAATTAAGTTGTAGTAATAAAAGCAATTTTTTCCTAAGTGAGTGAGTATGAAACTATATCTCATCTGTCACTATCTCAAGGATATCACAGGCTACTCCACTGTCGAGTCACTATTTGTCGATGCGAGGATTCCGAAAAAAGGTTTAGAAGATTTTCTGAAAGTTGAATACTCGAGAAAAAAACCGTTTTTTTTCTTCTGATTAAAATCGATGACGATTTTTGACGATTATAATTATTTTTTATGATTTCAAATAACTTAAAGGATTTGAATCGATTTTCCAGATACTAATCAATTAAAACAGCTTTTTGCAACTCAATCAGAGAAAATCATTTTCTTTATTTAGTAAATTGCTTAGAACTGATTACCACTCGGAAAATCGGTTAAAACCAAATGCTGTTGAAAAAGCAATTAGAATCTATTATTTTCTGTACTTTATCTCAAGAGAATCGATTTTCAGACAAAAATCAATTACAATCAATTTTATGGTGGTTTTTAATCGATTTTAACGCATTATTTATGAGATAATCGGCGGTAATCTATTTTTCCTCGTATTTAATCAGAATTTTGGGATATAATCTGATTTTATGGATTCTTCCGAAAAAATCGATTATCATCGGGTGTTTTGCCNTTTCTGTACTTTATCTCAAGAGAATCGATTTTCAGACAAAAATCAATTACAATCAATTTTATGGTGGTTTTTAATCGATTTTAACGCATTATTTATGAGATAATCGGCGGTAATCTATTTTTCCTCGTATTTAATCAGAATTTTGGGATATAATCTGATTTTATGGATTCTTCCGAAAAAATCGATTATCATCGGGTGTTTTGCCTCTTTTTTTACATGGGGATGCTCACCATGGATGAAATTTTTCCATGTACTTGATTAGCCATAATATTAATTTATTCATTTTGTATATCATGGCACAAGTAACTGACATTACCTGCAGAATCTTCTGCAATTGATTTAACTACAGGATCACTAGTTGCTGACCAATGAAGAAACTCCAGGAAATTACCTTGGTTGGAACTTCTGTAAGAAGCAGAAAACGAATAAAAAATATTTGTAAAAACGGATTTTTAGAAAACATACTGAGAATTTTTTCTGTGACCTCTAAAAGTAATCATTTAACGTGCTAAAAATGTATTGTTGAACATATTTTTATAAGACGATCACGATTTTTACGAATATGAATGACTCGACCAGCATCTAATTTATTCATAACGTTGGAGTTACTTTGTCGTCGTAAAACATATGATTCGTAGTTTTTGGTAGAGGTTACATGTAATTTCGATTGAGAATGTTTCAGTAGACCACCAGTAGCTTCTAAAGCTCGCTTCCAATTATTGAATCCAGTTCTGGCAAAAGCATCATGATTATTCGATCGCTTACAAGAAAAATGACGGCAGTAATAACAATAAGCCATATTGTTTTTTACAGAATATTCCAACCAAGGTCTTTCTTTGTAACCACTTGATTGAAACGAACGTTTATCAGTAGTTATTGGATAACTGGTCAATTTTGGCTGAGTAGCAATATTATTACATGATTTACTAATATCGTCAAAATCGCAAGTAGATTTTACTTGAAAAGTATTGTTTGAAGGACTACAGATAATAAGAGTCGATGATGAAGCGACAGAATTAACATCTGATGCACTCATTTGATTTTGGAAAGGTGAAGAAGAAAGATCTTGAGAATGAAATGATGACAATTGAATGGTAGAATTAACATCACACACATTTGGATCAACAGATGATGAAGAAAAGAGATCTTGAGATTCGTATGATGTTGATGAATTGATCGCAGTCAGTTCCATTTCCTCTTCATTTATACGTGGCTTTTTTTTAGTGAACGACAAAAAGACTCAATTGTTCTACGTTTTTCCGGCTGCATTTTCGAAGATTATAATTTACTTTAATAAGTTTTTTTTGTGTGGTTTTCAATAATCAACCAATAAAAAAACTAAGAGAACATCGTATTGATAAACTAGCCGTACTATATTGCGACATCTATCACATACAATATCATTAGTTTTTTTCAAGATCCCCAAAAAATCGTAGGGTGGGCTGAGCTCTCCCTTGGCGCCGCCACTACAACCCACTATGACTTGTTTTCGACTATTTCTGACATTTTTGTATTCAACAGCTTTGCTTTTGACGTTTTCCCAGTAAACTTGATTGTAATTTCATCATAATAAACTGCTATGTGACCAACTCGAACAAGATGGTCACAGTAAAATTAGTCTGTTCACTAAACAATTGACTGAGCGAATGAAGTTAAATTGGCCATCACATTGAAAATTGATTAATGAGATTATTTTTTTTCTGATCATTATTGACACTAGTCAACTGCTGAATACGAAAAACATACATAAGAAGAAAACTGCGTGATTTAAAAAAAACGGGTTTTGGGGGTGGGTAAACATGTCATTGTTGGGCGCTGCCGAACTAAGAAACAAAACTACATATAATTCTCAAACTTTTAGCAAATACAGACCAATATATTACTGATCACAATCAACAGTCAAATTCAAAATCTCAATGATAAGACTTTGGATTGCAGCAGTCGAACTTAAGTCCCAGTCTTCAGAGATTCGAAAAATTTTCATATCATTAAATTTCCCCCTATTTCATGTTTCGAATGATGAAAACCGCAGAGCGATTGCTGTTATTGTTGCAGAGTTATTCAAAAAATGCCCGCGTTCATTTTATTTTCCCGGGGATAGTAGTAGCTCATTAGTTTCTCCATTTTTTTCACCACGTGGAGCTTTATTTACGAAATATTTCATCCTATGTACAAGCAAATAAATGATAAGAAGTAAAAGCGCTCATCCATCCGTGTCACTTTTTATGACTGGGCGCAACAAGGGCATACGTATCTATACATGCAGCTCTGTATTTCTTTCTCTTCACGTATTTGAGAGAGAATCGACAAAGGTATATAATACGAAGATTGCGTTCGAAATAACTGACACAAACGAAAACGAAGTAACGCGATAGTCATAACAAATGCGTCCTTCGCGAAAAATACTAAATAACAACATCGTTTCATATTATTCCAACGAAACAAGTTGATCACTCGAAGTCGACCACTGTTCGACGCCACTTGAATGACTGTGCACATGGAACTTATGTCATTTGTCAACTAAGCTCTTCAAGAGTCAGTTGATATCAACAGCGCTCGCATATTTCGCAAACGTTAAATACCAACAATGATGTTAACTCTGCTTCGGAAAGAGCACCAACTTCAAAGGCGACGACTGCGTCGCAATATTTTATCCAACTGCATATGAAAGTGATTCCACGCTGCTGCCACTACTCTCCTCATCCGAAAGAGATATAGTGCTCTATTTTTACGAATACGATCACCATTCAACATCCTGAGTACATCCATTCAAGACCAATCACTTACATGAAAGCTACTTATTTGCAGGTATGTGAAATCTTTTCTCCGTTGTTTCGCGTACAATTTCGGGAAGCCGAAGTTGGGGTAATGCTATGACTTAGCAGGACTTGAGCCGGAACAACAAATTCTTCCTCTTCTCTCTCTCTCTCTCTCTCTCTCTCTCGTTGTTTCGCGTACAATTTCGGGAAGCCGAAGTTGGGGTAGTGCTATGACTTAGCGCGACTTGAACCGGAACAACAACTTCTTCTCCTTTTCTTCTCTCTCTTCTCTGCCTTCCCGTCTCTCTCAGTTCCTGTTTCATCGCTTTGCTGAAATATATTGGAAAGATGAGCCAATGGAGAAATGTCTCGACCGTGTGTGAGCACATTTGACATGCAAGTAGGTGACGAATGAAAATACAATCTTTTCCAACAGCGATGCAAGTTCTACTATGGTGCGTCATACACAACTACTGCCGAGTCGTTCGTTGTCCATTCGCGTTTTTGGGCGAAGCCATCGTATTCAACATTGGGAAATCTTATAAACGTGTACACGCTATGAGTGTGACGATTGTTCTCTTCAATGTGACCACCGTGCAAGCGACGAAGACGAGAAACAAAGGTATGCATGAACACATCGAGCATATTTTCAGTTTTATGAATGTGTGAGATCTTGAGAAATAAAGAAAAATAGAAGTGTGGGTGTGGACGTGAGGACAAGAAAAGTTGACGAATGTGGAACTAGATGCGTCAGTCTGAAGGTAAGTTAAAATGCTTAGAACTCAGCAGTATTATCGAAATTGACAGTTGAATTCAAGTATTCAACTATTACAGTATCCTAGTGTTCAATTCTCCCCTTTTCTGCAACAAAGGGTTATACAACGGGTAAGTCCTGGGATAAAAAGCTTAAAGTTTGCCTGCATGCCTGTCTGTCCGTCCTTTCCAAGCAGAAATCAGCCTTTATGAAATCAATGAAATTTATTGATATTCATCAGAGGTTCACTTCTGATGGAATAATCGAGGCCGTGGAGCTCGAATCTGATGTTAGTTTTTTCTCGTATTCACCAACCTTCGACTTCTATTTTACTCTCCCCAAAAGATGTGTTTTTCTGTATTTTTTCTGAGATCTTCTGTAGACGGGGTGTGGGTTAAATGTTATTCCTGTATATGTTGTGTGCGAAGATAATAGTTTAGGAGCTTACACAAAAAGATTTAGTATATCTTACATTACAATACTTGTAATTCAAGAAATGAGAAGAAGCGGTAGAGCTCATTATAATTATTGGACTGTTAGCTACGATACGTCAGGTCTTTCGATAGGATTTCAGCAGAAATATGTTGCAATAGGGTATGTCTGTCACTACAATTCCATCTTACTATCTACAGAGGTATCGACTATACAAATCATCATCGTCATTATCATGTCCCTTACGCTTAGCACCCGCTGGGGCCAACCATTCTATGGGACCAAATTTTTTCATCTATGTCGATCTTGCACAAGACAGAACAGTTCCTTTCCACTGCCTTGACACCACTCAGCTATGTCGTACAGCCGCTCTCTGCATGATCGCGCGTAGGGATGTAACAATACCAATACTTCCAATACCAATAGTATTGGTATTGGTGGGTATTGGTATTTTTAGAAACCTAGGAATATGAGCACTAGTTGGCATTTCTTTATTTTAAACATAGCACTCGCACCCGCACTCAGTGCTGCGCGTGTATATACTGTGTTTAAAGTAAGGTAGTGCCCTTTGGTCATTGACACTTATCAAGATCTCTGGTGAATCTCTGGAATAGATTCTCTTCTCATGCTCACCAGCACGCAGCAGCCTGAATTCTTTGAATTTATTCAGTTCTATTTTGTTTAGTTCTCGTAAAAATACCAGTACTACCCAATACCGTATTGGTATTGTGACATCCTTCTTCGGATATCTTCGTTTCGTATCGTGTCCTGCCAGTTTTTTCTTAGAATCGTCGGTAACATTTTATTTCGAGTACCAATAATTTTTTCCTGTCTGCTTCTTTCGAAATCCATGTGTCTGAAGCGTGTAGTAGGACACCGACAACACAGGTGTTTAGTACTTGTAGCTTGTTATCTATCTTCAGCTTTTTGCTATTCCAAGTATGTTTTAATGGAGCTAGTGCACCCGTCGCTTTTCCTATTCGCCTTTTGATTTTCTCTGAACAGTTATTATCCCAAGTGATTAAATTGCCGAGGTATTATAATTTTTCTACATGCTCTATGGTGCCACCTACTACTTGCATCTTATTTTCGACACTCCTGTCTTCAGATACCATAGTTTCGATTCGATGTATAATTATTTACTATTAGTCCCGACTGTTCGCATGCTGTTTTTGCTAGCTCAACTTAGCGTCGAAATAAGCTAAGATCTTCATTAATGAAACCAATGCCATCGGCGAACCTTAGTGTACTTATAAGTATTCCGCTGACATTATTTCCGCAAGTGTTCTCCCTCACCTGATCCATTACTCTTTCAAGATATACGATGAAGAGGAGTCATGACAGAGGATAGCCTTGTCTTGTTCGTGCGTCCTTCTGAAACCACTTGTCGTAATCATTACCAATTCGAACAGCTGACTGTGACTTTTCACAGATATTTTGTGGCGGTGTGATTATTTTTGTATCAACCCCATATGATTTTAGCGTAGGCCAAATTATTTTATGTTTGATCGTATCGAATGCTTTTTCCAAAATCAGTAAAACACTTATAGATTTTCTTTCCCTGTCTCTTTGCTTTCTCTGCCAGTAGTCGAAGTATCAGAATCTGGTGCACGATGCTTCTCTCTCTCTCCTAAATCCCGCCTATTTTTCTGAAAAAATATCGGTCTAGGTAAACTTTTAATCTATTCAGTAGTACAATTAGGAGTATTTTCCTGTATGACTGATAAGTGAGACCGTTCGATAGTTATAACATTTGCTAAGATATCCTTTTTTCGGTATAGATACCAAAACAGATTTTCCCCATTCTTCTGGAATTGCACATTCATGCCATGCTTTGTTGCAGAGCCGATATATTTCACGTGCTAGTGGTTCTTCTCCAGCTTGTAGCATCTCTGCTGGAATTCCGTGTGATCCTAGACTCTTATTTGTTTTTAACGCACGTATTCCTGTTTGGACTTGAGAATACAAGATGTTCTTAGTTTGCTCAACTATCGGAGGGCGACGTCTTCAAGTTCTTCAACCATCTTGTTTCCACCACCAGGATCTTTATACAGACTACTACAATACTGTGTCCATTTATCTTTAATATCATCTTTTGCCTCTAACAATGTTACCCATGCCGAGACCTTTCGCAGCTTGTTCGCATTGATTTTCTATTCAGCATTCTTTCTCCTGTCTTGCAGATTTTTTCACTTTCCGACAGAAGTCTTTATATTGCTGTGTATATTCTATGCAAATATTTTTCATCAGCGAGTTGTAGTGTTACTTCGGAAATTCAGCGTTTCTTATTTTTCCTTTTTGCAGGTATTGCTGTCTTTACTGCATTTTTAATGGCCTGTCCTATCTTGTTTGAATGCTCTTCCAAACTGCATGTTTGTCCTATACTCTTTATGTTGTTCAATAATGTAGTATGGTATGATTGTCTTATATTTTTATTTTTCAACTGACTTACGTCGACCTTGTACGAGTGATTTGGTTTGATCGACATTTTCTTGAGTCTTATTTCAGTATTGCATAAGACTAGAGAATAGTCTGAGCTTAAGTCTGCATTCTGAAAAGTTCGATAGTTGACGATTGAGATCTTCCATCTACTTTGTATGAGAATGAGATCAATCATATTCTTATGAGTACCATCTGGTGGTGCCCAGGACCATTTTCTATTAGGCTTCTGTTGAAATCGCGTATTGCATATGTAGAGATCATGTGCTGTGGCAAATTCTAGGAGGCGTTCGTTTCTGTCGCTGTGTCCGTATTTACCCATACATGATTTCCACTCTACATTTTCCGTACCAATCTCCTATCCTAATGATTACACCTTTTTTTATCTGTCTTTGTTATTACTTTTTCAATATAGCTATAGGATGCTTCAATGTCTTCTTTTGATGTTGCAGAATTTGGTGCACATTCATGCATGACTGTTATCTTAAATGGTGTCGCATCAAATCGCGCCGAAATTATTCGTGGGCCGATTGGCTGATATCCTATTAATGCCTTTTTTGCATGTGCACTAAATAAGAAACTGACATCCCTCATATGTACAGTTTCTTCTTCTGGCCCGATGAAATCCGCATCCGGTGTTTCACATTTTCCTGTCCATCGCACTTCAGAAATACCAATTATATCATGCCTGAATCGTTTCATTTCGTTTCGTAAAAATTCTAATTTTCCAACAGCCCATAGGGCCTGCACATTCCATGTTCCTACTGTCAAAGACATTTTGGCACGAGCTGGTTGTTTTGAGTTTTTTGTCGTATGTGAGCTCTTTCCAGTCGCCACTGTATCGACTCTGCCCTGGTCACTAACGCAAACAGAGGACGCGGGCCTTGTTCTTTCGGGCGCCATCCGAGCCGGTATGTATTTCCTCTGGAGTCTTCCATGGTTGGTTTCTGTCGTCTTGATCTTTTTACAGACGGTGATATCTGCACATCTTCCGTCCAACATTCCTCCTTTATCCGGACTTGTGACCGGCATAGAGTCCACAATTAGTGGTCTCTATGGTGAAGTTTGACTATACAAATAGTATCCTAATGATATAAAGGGCNGGGGGGGGGGAATCTTTTTAGGCTTTCGCTAGTCTCACCGAGATCTACAACACGGCATATGTCCGATTCAAAACGGAGAGTCACACTTGGGGACCTTCCCTCGTTAGCTGTTGAAGTAATGGGCTGGTTGTCCCTTTTTGTAAAACACAAAATTCTCCATCAATCAGAGACGCTCCATGCACCTTCTAGAAAAACTTTCTTGCTGAGTGTTACAGGCATGTGTACAACATGTCTTCTACGAAACTGCGGACAGTTTCATTATTAACGTTTAAAAGCACATTCAGAAACCTGCTTAAATATTTTTTATTTGCAAAAAATCAATTTTTTCAAACTTGATGAGTGAGTCGACTGTCTTTTGAGCAAACAACAAAAGAAGTAATTATATTTTAAAAGATGTCTTAAAGACGATAGTTCGGAAATCCGATCAACATACAAGTTTGTGAAGATCAGTCAAACTTTTATTTTCACGGATGAAAAAGCTACAAAAGCTAGTCGTTATTTAGTAGCTCTTTAGTTCCTCCACTTTTTTTTACCACGTGAACTTTTTTACCAAATATTTTATCCTATCTACAAGCAAATAGGTGATGAGAAGCAAAAGCGACCATCCATCCGTGTCATTTTCTATGATTGGGTGCTGACAACAAGGATATGCGTATCTATACGTATGTATCGATATTTCTTTCTCTTCATCTATTCGAAAGAGAATCGGCAAAGGTATACAATACGAAGGTTATATTCGAAATAACTGAGACAAGCGAAAACGAAGTAACGCGATAGACATAACAAGTGTGTCCTTCGCGAAAAACACTAAATAACAACATCGTTTCATATGGTTTTGACGAAACAAGTTGATCACTCGAATTCGACCATTGTTCGACGCCACTAGGATGACTGTGCGCATGGAAATTATGTTATTTTTCAACTAAACTCTTCAAGAGTCAGTTGATATCAACAGCGCTCGCATTTTTCTCAAACGTTAAATACCAACAATGATGTTAACTCTACTTCGGAAAGAGTACCAACTTCAAAGGCGATGAATGCGTCGCCATATTTTATCCGACTGCATATGAAAGTGATTCTACGCTGCTGCCACTACTCTTCTCATCCGAAAGAGATATAGTGCTCTATTGTTACGAATACAATCTCCATTCAATATCCTGAATACATCCATTCAAGGCCAATCACTTACATGGAAGCTATTAATTTGTAGGTATGTCAAAATCTTTTCCCCGTTGTTTCGCATACAATTTCGGGAAGCCGAAGTTGGGGTAATGCTATGACTTAGCACGACTTGAACCGGAACAACAACTCCTTCTTCTTCTTTTCTTCTGTCTTCCCGTGTCTCTCAGTCCCTGTTTCATCGCTTTGCTGAAATATATTGGAAACATGAGCCAATGGAGAATTGCCTCGACCGTGTGTGAACACATTTGACGTGCAAGTAGGTGGCGAATGAAAATACAATCTTTTCCAACAACGGCACAAGTCCTATTATCGTGTGTCATACACAACCACTGCAGAGTCGTTCATCGCCGATTCGCGTTTTTGGACGAAGCCATCGTATTCAGCGTTGTATCTGCCACTCTGATTATAATGTTGAAAACAATGCGCAGAACATTGAATATCGCGAATTATAACATTTGGAAATCTCATAAACATGTACACGCTATGAGTGTGATGATTATTCTCTTCAATATGACCACCGTGCAAGCGACGAAGACGAGAAACAAAGACAGGCATGAACACATCGAGCATATTTTCAGTTTTATGAATGTGTGAGATCTTGAGAAATAAAGAAAAGCAGAAGTGTGGGTGTGGACGTGAGAACAAGAAAAGTTGACAAATGGGCAACTAGATGCGCCAGTCTGAAGGTAAGTTAAAATGCTTAGAACTCAGCAGTACTATCAAAATTGAAGTTTAAATTCACGTATTCAAGTACTCCACTATTCCAGTGTTCAATTCTCGTCTTGTAAGTTTTTCTCGTATTCATCAACCTTCGGCGTCTACTTTATTCTTCCCAAAAGATGTGTTTTTCTGTATGTTTTCTAAGATCGTTCGTATACGGTAGTGGGTTAAATGTTATTTCTGTATGCGTTGTGTGCGAAGATAGTAGTTTAGGTACTTACACAAAAAGATTTAGTATATCTTACATTACAATACTTGTAATTCAAGAAATGAGAAGAAGCGGTAGAGCTCAATATAATTATTGGATGGCTAACTGCGATACATCAGGTCTTTCGATAGGATTTCAGCAGAAATATGTTGCAATAGGGTATGTGTGTCACTACAATTCTATCTTATTATCTACAGAAGTATCGACTATACAAATCATCATCACCATCTTCATCATGCCCCTTATGCTTAACTCCCGCTATGGCCAACCATTCTATGGGATCAGATATTTCTATATCTGTCGATCTTGCGCAAGGTGGAACAACTCCTTTCCACTGCCTTGACACCACTCAGCTATGTCGTACAGCCGCTCTCTGCATGATCGCCCTGTCGAGACTTTCCATCCATTTTCCCAGCTAGTAGATGTTTTATCAATTTACTATCACTCATTCTGCATATGAGGCCAAACAACTGCAGCTTCCTCTTTTTGATGATGTCGCTTATTATCTCCTCTCTTGATATCCTTCTTCGGATATCTTCGTTTCGTATCATATCCTACCAGTTTATTCTTAGAACCTATCGGTAACATTTTATTTCGAGTACCAATAATATTTTCCTGTCTGCTTCTTTCAAAGTCCACGTGTCTGAAGCGTGTAGTAAGACACTGACGACACAGGTGTTTAGTACTTGTAGTTTGTTATCTATCTTCAGCTTTTTGCTATTCCAAATATGTTTTAATGGAGCTAGTGCACCTGTCGCTTTTCCTATTCACCTTTTGATTTCCCCTGAACAGTTATTATCCCAAGTGATTAAATTGCCGAGGTATTATAATTTTTCTACATGCTCTATGGTGCCACCTGCCACTTGTATCTTATTTTCGACACTCCCGTCTTCAAATACCATAGCTTTGATTTTATGTATAATTATTCACTATTAGCCCAGACTGTTCGCATGCCGTGTTTGCTAGCTCAACTTAGCGCTGAAATGAGCTAAGATCTGCATTAATGAAACCAATGCCATCGGCGAACCTTAGTGTACTTATAAGTATTCCACTGACATTATTTCCGCAAGTGTTCTCCCTCACCTGATCCATTACTCTTTCAAGATATACGATGAAGAGGAGTCGTGACAGAGGATAGCCTTGTCTTGTTCGTGCGTCCTTCTGAAACCACTCGCCGTAATCATCACAATTCGAACAGCTGACTGTGACTTTTCACAGATATTTTGTGACGGTGTGATTATTGTTGTATCAACCCCATATGATTTTAGCGTAGGCCAAATTATTTTATGTTTGATCGTATCGAATGCTTTTTCCAAAATCAGTAAAACAGCTATAGATTTTCTTTCCCTGTCTTTTTGCTTTCTCGGCCAGCAGTCTAAGCATCAGAATCTGGTGTACGATGCTTCTCTCTCTCCTAAATCCCGCCTGTTCTTCTGAAAAAATATGGGCCTACGTAAACTTTTAATCTATTCAGTAACACTATTAGGAGTACTTTTCCTGTATGACTGATAAGTGAGACCGTTCGATAGTTATAACATTTGATAAGATCTCCTTTTTTCGGTATAGATACCAAAATAGATTTTCCCCATTCTTCTGGAATTGTACCTTTATGCCATGCTTTGTTACAGAGCTGATATATTTCACGTGCTAGTGGTTCTCCTCCAGCTTGTAGCATCTCTGCTGAAATTCCGTGTGATGATGGATTCTTATTTCTTTTTAATGCATGTAGTGCTTTTTGGACTTCAGAATACAGGATATCGTTGGTATGCCCAACTATCGGAGTGGCGATGCTTTCAAGCTCTTCGACCACCTCGTCTCCACCACCAGGACCTTTATACAGACTGCTACAATACTGTGACCATCTATCTTTAATATCATCTTTTGTCTGTAGCAATGTTACCAATGTTTCCATCCTTTTCAGCTTGTTCGCATTGATTTTCTATTCAGTATTTTTTCACTTTCCGACATAAGTCTTTATATTGCTGTGTATATTCTATGCAAATATTTTTCATCAGCGAGCTGCAGCGTTTCTTAGTTTTCCCTTTTGCCGGTATCACTGTCTCTACTGCATTTTTAATGGCCTGTCCTATCTTGTTTGAATGCTCTTCTAAACTGCACGTTGGTCCTATACCCTTTATGCTGTTCAATAGTGTAGTATGGAATGATTGTCTTATATTCTCATCTTTCAACTGATTTACATCTTCTATCTACTTTGTATGAGAATGGGATCAATCATATTCTTAGGAATACCATCTGGTGGTGCCCAGGTCTATTATCTATTAGGTTTCTGTTGAGATCGCGTATTGCATATGTAGAGATCATGTACCGTGGCAAATTCTAGGGGGCGTTTGTTTCTGTCGCTATATCCGTATTTACCCATAACTGATTTCCACGCTACACGTTCCGTACCACTCTCCTATCCTAATGATTATATCCTTTTATCTGTCTTTGTTATTACTTTTTCAATATCGCTATAGGATGCTTCAATGTCTTCTTTTGATTATGTAGAAGTTGGTGCATATACATGTTTGACTGTTATCTTAAATGGTGTTGCATCAAATCGCGCCGAAATTATTCGTGGGCTGATTGGCTTATATCCTATTAATGCCTTTGTTTGTGTGTGCAATTAATAAGAAACCGACACCCTTCATATGTATAGCTTCTTCTTCTGACCAGATGAAATCCGCCTTCAGTGTTTCAAATTTTCCTGTCCATCATACCTAAAACGTTTCATTTCGTTTCGTAAAAATTCTAATTTTCCAACAGCCCATAGGGCCTGCACATTCCATGTTCCTACTGTCAAAGACATTTTGGCACGAGCTGGATGTTTTGAGTTTTTTGTCGTATGTGAGCTCTTTCCAGTCGCCACTGTATCGACTCTGCCCTGGTCACTAACGCAAACAGAGGACGCGGGCTTTGTTCTTTCGGACGCCATCCGAGCCGGTATGTATTTCCTCTGGAATCTTTCATGGTTGGTTTCTGTCGTCTTGATCTTTTTACAGAAGGCGATATCTGCACATCTTCCGTCCAACATTCCTCCTTTATCCGGACTTGTGACCGGCATAGAGTCCACAATTAGTGGTCTCTATGGTGAAGTTTGACTATACAAATAGTATCCTAATGATATAAAGGGCTATGATAGCTGCTCTTTTCGCGGTAAACCATAAAAGCTTTTTATCTTACTTCTTTTGGTAGTCAAATAATAGAAGGTCACCACTGAGGAAGCAATGATGGCAAGAAAATTAGTTATTCAATTTGACAGCTAATAAAAAACGAAAGGCATATTGGAGGCGTTTCTTTTGAAAGTTACTTGAAAGATGAGGCTTTTAAGAGTCCTGGCTAGTGTCAATGACTTTTCGAAGGGCTATATTTATGTCCCTTCGAACTTCGAGAATAAGCTCTACACATTATCAGTTCCTTAAACTGAAGCGAACAATAAAATATGGACTCCAAATCGTACAGTTACAAAAATTTTGATAACTACGACTGCAGACGGTCTCAGTATGAAAATATCATCGAAATTTATGATAGATCAACGGCTAGCCGTGAGTGACAGTTCGAATGGAAACCAACGAACGACTAGGCGTTACTTTGATAAGATCTGAGGAAGCAAATCAAGTATGAGTAAAAGACCAGAATAAATTATCAAATGATTGAATCATTCAAATGAAATCATGTTTATTTATTTCTTTTGAGGAATAACAGAGATCTGATGATGTTGTTTCAGTACAGGGTTAGCAGGTACTACGCAATGTTAGCTGTTTTGAGGGTGCGGGCGAGTTAAGCGTTACCACGATCGCGATTTCGTTCGCGCTAGAGGACCCATCAGATGGCTTTAGACTGTATAAGGAATAGTGTAGAAGTCGTTAACTTGATTCGAGTATTAAAACTACCTTCGAATTCGACATCTTCTACTTTAGACCTCGAAGCTTCGAGTTTTCCGCTTAGCAACTGGCAAGTGATTGATCGTAAATCCTGGAGTGACTCGATATTAACTATTACGTGGTTGTTGATTAAATATTAACCAACCGATTACTTATTAACAATCAACGGGCTATCAAGTAATTGGCATCTCAATATTGAATGCTACTTAATCATTTATTCACAATATGACTATGAATTACCTGCGAACTAACGATAACGAATCCCGTTCATATTGACTCTGACTACGCCGTTGCCAGCTGCGCCTCCCCCAACACCCTCAAGAGGTAAGTATGTCGTTGACAGATTAAAATGTGATTTAAATAGTCTTCCCGTCACTCGCATGATTTTGGGTGCGCTATGTGGCAGGGATGAAAAAACTCCATTTCATGTCAGGAATATAGTTGAAAAACGTTTTAAACGACTGGATGTAAAGAGCTGCGGAATCGACATGTATACGGTATTTTTATTTTTCTAGAAACATATCACTATTGCGAATGCGAAAGGGATACTGAATATTCAGTTTTCTTTTTCGATATGATGTGTGATCGGATTGTAGATTGATATGAAATCTCCTAATTTTTGTTTATGTCTGAGAAGCCTTTTGGAAATTGAATGTTTGACGTCAAAGTGTTAGTTCGTGTGAGAAGGAAAATATGGGATGATTTTGAAGAGTATTTCGTTAAATTTCAATGCCCAATGCATTTTTAGTCATAATTATCTGTTACTATGCTAAAGTTTCACAGGAAAATGAACTTAGCTACAAAGCATAAATTATATTTTTCATTATGGTCATATCGAACAGGATATTGAGTTTATGTATCACACGTATCTACTTCATCAAACACCTCATGAGAACCCAGAGTTAATTAAAAAAAACCAGAATACAAACAATACATCGCATATAATACTATGGTTGTTATTTTTTAGATTATCACTCTATTTTACCAGCACATTTGTTAATTTAAGCAGGAAATTTAAAATTCCCGTATTCATCTAAGATTTTGAAAGGGTGTACTAATCGTTTGAGAATTTTTCAAATAGTAACCAATTCACAGTACAACCATAAGCTAGCATTTCTTTCGTACGATACTGTATTTTAACAATTAAGAAATGAGTTTTAAATATTTTTCAACAGTACTTAAGAGAAATTCGCGTAAGGTTCGATGAGAATCATTCAATTGTAAATAAAGAATCACTTACAAAGTAAACATTTACGAACAGTTATATCAGTCTGCCGAGTGATCAGATACAGACAAATATTCTCCATCGCAATCAGTGATAGGCTTTCATCGTTTCTCTGCTGATTAGGTGTCATAATGCTATAAAAATTTCCTTGCACTTAAATACACATTGATGGATAAAATATTTTTGGACGATTTAACATTCGAAAATATGGGAAAATACCGGTTCATATATTGGTAATCGTTACGAAAATTGAGTTACGGCTCGTATTCCGCCGCTCGTAACAGATCAACGGATCTTTCATCAGGAATCGGGTTGGATCCGACGATCATATCCGAAAATGTGATCCGTATCAAGGAAGCGACTAGGCCTAGGACAGTTCCATATTAGTTCCAATCATGGGAACTATGTAAGAGTTCTTTTGAACGGAACTGATCTGTACCCACCAGTTCTTTGACAGGAACTGATCTGCACCCACCAGTTCTTTGACAGGAACTGATCTGCACCCACCAGTTCTTTGACAGGAACTGATCTGCGGCCACCAGTTCTTTGACGGGAACTGATCTGTACCTACCAGTTCTTTGACAGGAACTGATCTGCACCTACCAGTTCTTTGACAGGAACTGATCTGTACCTACCAGTTCTTTGACAGGAACTGATCTGCACCCACCAGTTCTTTGACAGGAACTGATCTGCATCCACCAGTTCTTTGACAGGAACTGATCTGTACCTACCAGTTCTTTGACAGGAACTGATCTGCACCTACCAGTTCTTTGACAGGAACTGAGTTATCCTCACTAGGTCTTATTTTACATTTTTGGCAGGTTATAGGCACATTTGTATATGCTCTTATTTATCGACTGGCACTAGCCGTTTATGTAATTAATTACATATTTGGATATTATAGCTGTTAGCATTTTCTTTCAAAACTCTACAGTGATTCGAGAGCATTCATAATTATGCTGAAGAAGTAAAAGTGAACCACGTTCATCATTAAGGACCTCGAAAATACTTTCGAATATTCTGGACGAACATTTAAGTTTTCTGCAGAAAACTACTTTTTCATTTAAACGTTATAATGATCAAAAGTGTCACTTTGTTAGAGTATATTTGAATGGTGCGTGCTTATTAATCTGCTACCAAAGAGATTAAATGGACTATTTTATAAGTTACTTCATTGGTAGAGAAGCATCGGTTTGTAAGTTCAGAATTATCGTTCAACAATTATAGTTGGCATGCGTCCTTCGTCAGATATGTGCTTTTGAAAAAAATAATCCGAAAGTGGTTTCGNTACTATTATGATAACAGTTTAATAATGATCAAATAGCATAGAAAAATAGAGTGAAACACGCTCTATCTTTTGGTAAAAAAAAGAAATTTCTTTACGTCTCTGCCTAAGAAAATAACATACCTCCCTCACTACTTTTGGATTGCCCTAAGTATTTCTCTGTTTTTCTTTATTTTAGGCTCCCATTGCTTATGTTTAGAAATGAAATACGAACACAATTGAACCACAGATCGGTAATTCATAATGCAGTACAAGCAGGTTGCAATCCAATGGTATGTGTTGTTCAGGACTTTTGTAAAGGCAAATCTGTGGAAGAGCCGGCACTCCCTAAAAAATTATTGGAATTATCTGACAGTAAGACTGAGCACTTACAGGGATTGTTACCGTTAGTTCCTGGAATGCCAGTTATTATTACACAAAATATTGCTATTGAACTGGGATTAATTAACGGCATCAATGGAATTTTTAGACCACTAGTTTATGATACTGATTCAGTGTCAACAATAATCTATCAAACACGTTTCCAATGAACACTCAATATGTGCACAAGCCAATATATGCGTTGATCGAAATAAGCAAATCCAAAATTGAGTGGAATCTTGAAAAGCTTCAACCAAAACTCATTCCAATACCAATAATGGAACAAACCTTTCAGGTAGACATTTCGGATATTCGTCCGAAAGTCAACAACAAATAAAAAACGAACAGAAAAGCTATGTTATCGATTAAACGACGCGCGTTACTTCTTGTACCCGCATATTCTATCACAATTCACAAAAGTCAAGGACAAACTTTGAACAAAGTGGTAATTGATTTGAAGTTACCAAAGGATACAGATGATATCGCTGCAGTCTATGTACCACTATCAAGAGTGAAGCGTTTGGACGATTTAATTATTTTACGACACTTTGATTACAAAGTCCTAGTAACCAAACCCACCAAATCTCAATTTGCCGAGATGCAAAGACTAGACAAACTCTACATGGAAACACAGATGCGTTTTTCACAATGGTTTTGAGAAATTTTATAGAACACACGAAATCTCCACTACTCGTCATCCAATTTTAGTATCTGATCTATTTGCATCTCTTGTAGTTGTAGAAATCTTTTGCACAGTTGAAACTTTTTTTCTATTCGTTGATTGTTCGTAATAAAACTGCAAGTTTTCTTTTCAATTTTGCTGTGAAATACTATTTTTTGTTCCACTTTTCTTATTCGTACTCGTTTATATTCATTATTTACTTGTTTAAAGGTCAGTTAAAGCTAATAGAGTTTATTTCTCTTCTTTGATGTAGTCGTTTATTATATCCTCAACGTTTCTTTTTTAATTGTTGCAAAACAAATAGATAAACTTCAGATTGAAAAGTATTTTCTCTTATTCAAAACAAAGCTTTCTAGCAAAACTTAAAAAAGCAATAATCAATTCAACACATATTGATCTTTTCAGTTGAAGGTAATGCGAGTCACTCTCGACGAGCGTTATTTATTGTGAGTTAGCCATATTTCTAGGATCGCAGTTGAAGAATTCAGCCAATCCAGATAATGAATCGTCGTTTTCTAGGCAACTAGCTGTATTGCCAGGAGCAATTGCTGGAAACTGAGATGGTCGTGATTGGGATACGATCAATTCTGTAACGAATGAAAGATATATATTATTACTAGACGGCATTAAGAAGATAGTATTTTAATTGTTAAATTCGTTACTACTGCTCTTCTAACATAAAGAACACGTTAAAACAGAAATACATGTCAAGGAACTTTTTAGAAAATATTCTTTCGTATAACCGATTAATAATTACAGCTTTACAGTCGTTCAATATATATTTGTATAAGTAACTTACGTGCAGGAACTCCTTTCCATTGATTATATGGGAGTAATATATCATTTTTCATAACTAATGTAAATGGATGAAGACGATTATTGTTCATTATTTTACAACCGGCCATTACAAATGAGCCACTCATTAATATACATGAGTCGCCAATTACAACAGGTGCTAATTTCAGAATACGTTGCTCGAAGCTATGACACTAAAGGCAATTTAAAGACATACAATTAACTTAAAAGAACATGCAAAGATAATCATGAGTTACTTGAATATTCGCATGTTGATTAAGCCGAACATTATTTCCAATAGTTACCATATGATAATCTGTCAGGCAAGAAAAGTCAGGTAAAATTACATTATCACCAATGTTTGAACCCAATGCACGGAATAAACGAACTAACCATTGTGTATTAGACAAAAATGGACAAATCAACTGTTGATAATCTAACATTGTTTTTGTTATTACTTGTTGAATTATTTGATGATTTATCGATAGACGGCACCGATAGAACGAAAAAAAAAGTATGGTATGAATGATGAGTCCAATAATGAAACCATTTATTGAGTAGATCGACATTAGAATACATTTACTAACGAAAGCAAACAAGCATGTTTGCCAAATTGGAACAATCTTAATTTGATCTGTTTCCGCTGATGTTTTAGGCTTTTCAAATGGCATACGGCGAGCAGAGATACCAATGAAAGTATCTCCATCATTACTAGATATTTTCCTAGAGAAGCGTGTTAAATTACCAACCATTATTTGAGATGCAAGGTGACTACCAGGTAAAACTGAACATCCATTACCAAGGTTTGTATCAAGTCCAAGTTTGATCCAGTCTACACGATGATCGCCTTCGAATGTTAATTCCGTAGGAACTAATAACACTGAGCCAAAAGTAGTGACCCCTGTTTCAAGATGTAAAAGATTAGTTGGATAAGATAAAAATGTATCTATCTCCGCTAGTTTCACATTATGTCCAACATGAGCACCTAGCCAACGAAGTATTATAGGGAAAATGTGATCATAAGCAGATGGTAGTAACCAAGCATGGTGAAAACTTGATACAATCAGTTGTCGAAGCCATAACTTATGCAAGTACGACCATGACGCAATGGAATATGTATCACCCGCAGTGCAAGAACCGACTATATATTTCAGTAAAATTAAAGAGATAAGACAAGCAAGAATCGACCATAATACCCAACAGAAAGCTATATTAATAGATAATGAGACTGGTATAAATGTATAAATTTTACAGACAACAGTTAAAAGTAAACAGTGAATGCATATCAATAATAAAAGTGAAGTAATTTGAAACGTTTTATGCCATATTGATAATATTCTGTTATTAAGACTATTTGAAAAATTTTGTGAAGACAGTTTATGGTCTTCACCATCGATAATTGTTTGACATTTGATAAAACCAGTAACTGTTGACATTGGTTGAACAATAATATTATCCTCCATAGTTACCTTATTAAATAGAATTGATCTCGTGCTAATTGAACAGTTAGATCCAATTTTAATTGGATATAGTGTGAAAGTGTTATTATCATTATAGTATAAACAATTCAGAAATGTTTGGTCAGCAATCCATGTTGCGTTACCAATATCTAGTAACCACGGAGCATCGATAGTTGTAGTATAGATGTGTGCATCTTCACCAATATGTGCACCACAAAGGCGTAGATAACTATTATAAAGCGGCGTACCAATCAAATGTTGTAACCAAAATGTGTTAACATGCCACAATCGGTCTAAAAACCACCATCGATAATAATTCCAAGAAAATATTAGCTCATTTTCATTGGTGTAAAACGAAAATAAACGTGAACATATAACGTAGACTATAAGATGAATTATTGGCATAACTGAGAAACAAAATGGCCACCATGTACTATTCATCATGACCGGCCATAGCCATTGGCACATAAGAAATAGAACTCCAACAGATTCTATGAAAAGTGATGATCGGCTATGGACTGGTAATTTATGATCATCATTATCGATGATATTTGTCTCTCGTGATTCTTTAAGCAAAGATTCTATCGCTTTCGTCAGCTGTCGAATAGATGGATTTGAAAGCAGAAATGTAATATCAACTTTGTCGTATACTTTCCGGCGAAGCAGTGTGAGTACCATTATAATATTCAATGACGTACCACCAAGTCTATTCAAAGGAATATCAAGAGCAGGATTCTCGACACTGAAAGCCTGACAGAAAATCTCTTGTATTTGTTGTTCCAAACTAGTTTGCGGTACGTTATCATCAGACTCATGCAGTGCTGATGAAAAAACAGGCGGAGGAAGTTGCTTACGATCTATTTTCCCATTTAAATTTAGAGGTAATTTATCCAGAATAACAAAGAACGATGGGATCATATGTAGTGGTAAATATAATTGGCAATGTTCTCGTATTTCTTTTTCGTATATAGGAGAACAGCGTTGAAGGTAAGCAACTATGCGATCTTCGCCCCATTTCATCACAACACACGCTGAAATAGATGTAATATTAAGCAGACATCGTTCGATCTCGCCAAGTTCAATGCGTTGTCCATGTAATTTTATTTGATGATCCTTTCGGCCGAGATAATAAAGCAAACCTTCACTATTCATGCGAGCCAGATCACCCGTTCGATAAAACTGTTTCCCATTGATGTTAACTAGTGCCTTTTGATTTAAATCATCGCGTCCTAGGTAACCAGCAAAAACACCATGACCACCTATAAGCAATTCCCCTTCTTGCCCAAGCATAACACTTTGATCAAATATATCAGTCAGTTGTATTTGTACATTTGCAAATGGAATGCCAATCGCAACCGTTCCTTGCTCAATCTCACCAATAGAGACTTTGCGATAGATCGAGGTCAATGTTGTTTCAGCGGGCCCGTATAGATTATAAAAATTTGCATTTTGTAGATGAGATTCTCCAATCATTCTTGCCAATGTTTTACAATCGATTGCTTCTCCTATATTGCACAAGTAGACAAAATGAACCTTTTCTTTTATAGAAGGGGTAAATGATACTCTGTAAAAAAAAGACGTCATACTGAACCGTAAAGGGTTCTAGGTTTCGATACGATTTTCAGAACCTTTCAAGGTTCGAGCACAATCTTTTTTCATCCAAAACTTTTTTCGATTACCTTAAAAATGGTTCTGGCCTTTCACAGAACAGCTCATGTTAGTCACTTTGCCTTCCACTATCTACTGGTCCTATATTTGACTACTTACCCTTGTCTTTTACCAGCCACTTCTACCCTTAACCCTATGCTTAACTACCTATCCCTTAGCGTATTTTATACTATCTATTTTATTCGTAACTCCACCATAGAAACCATTGTTTGTGGATTCTATGTCGGTCACAAGTCCGGATAAAGGAGGAGTGTTGGACGGAAGGGGTGCAGATACCGCCGTCTGTAAAAAGAACAAGACGTCAGAAACCAATCATGAGCGATTTCAGAGGAAATTTATACCGGCTCGGACGTCGCCCGGGTGAACAAGGTCCGCGTCCTCTGCTGAGTGACCAGGGCAGAGTTGATAAGTTGGCGACTGGAAAGAACACATATACAAACTATACGACGAAAAACACGCAAAGGCTAACTCTTGCCAAAAATTCTTTGACAGTTGGAACATGGAATGTGCAGACCCTATGGGCTGCTGGAAAATTGGAATTATTGCGAAACGAAATGAAACGTTTCACATATGATATAATTGGTATTTCTGAAGTGCGATGGACAGGAAAAGGTGAAACACCGAATGGNGACGGTTGGATATTTATATAGAGAATTAGGCTGAAAATGAGAGCTGAAAGTATTAGATAGTTGGAATGATTTATAGCAAAGAATAAAATCTAAGTTTCAGATGGCATTATTATGTGAAGTTTCAATATCTCTGATGAGATACCGAGCGATTATGAACAGGTTAAGTTTTTGGTGGAAATAGGAAACTGATTGTATATGTCTCAACGACTATTCGTGAGTGGCCGACGAACGACTAAAAGTTCGAATCCCAGATTAGCCTTGAAGTGTACGTTTGAGACAAACTGATCAAATTGGAAAGATTTTTAAAAGGAATTTGGCGAATGTTCTTTGATGAAAAATGCAGACTAATATGTGAGCTTTGCGAATAGTTGATTATGCTGTCTATTTCGAAAAATAATACTTGAGGGCTTTTTTCGAATAACTTTTGATAGAAGCATGGTAGAAAGCTACGACTTCCGCCAATGAGAAGAACAGATGAAATTGCATCGATTCATATAAGACTATGACTTTACCTTGGACGTTAGAACTCTTGTACAGTGGTCGAAAACGAAATGTCGTGAGAACAAGTCTGATTTTCTCTGGTAAAAAAAACTACAAAACAACCAAGTTTTTTACCAAAATTCGTGGCAAAATGGGTTAGAATTATTGGATATAATACCCATGAGTTCGAAAACACTAAAACTTTTACTCGAGCTCTCCCTATATATTTGTGTAGCCCACGATCTGGTGACTCCCATCCATCCCTTGAAGTGTAAGATTTGTCCTATGCTCACCTAATAGCCGTCATCTCTACTAAGGTGACTGTGGGCAACTATTGATTTCAGAAATAAATCGCAATAGTTTTATATAAATTGATGAGTTAACTTAGTCACTCTCCAGTAATGAAAATCGCAGCTCTCTGCCTTGTTTCTATCGAAAATTACTCATTGACGAATGACTAATCCGTTTGACTCATGTAAAAAGAACAATCTTCGTCTTCTATACGCCCTAACGTGTGACAGTGTCATGATTCACCTCCCAGGTCGATCAATCCCGTACTCGGATTTGTTGACCTGAGCTGACGACTAGCAGCAATCGCAATGCCTTATTTGTTCTCCACAGCGTTTGAATGTACTCAGCTCTAGAAGAACTCTTTCAGAAAGCGGTCAACGAATCCGAAGGAGGAGCGCCACTTTTTGTAGCTTTTCAAGTATCTGTTCACTCGCCCCACATTCTCACTTTGATATTGAGTAATTGAATGAATAGTTTAATTCAAGTTTCAAGTTATACACGTGTGAATCGACGAAGATTAGCTGGAAAAACAATTTATTCAAGAGCAGACATACAAGAACGTTTACTAAAAGACTGGAATAATACTGATCAAGATCTACCTTTTAAACTGGTCGAGTCGATGCTTGATCATGTACAAAATCGTTCAATAGCACGAGGTACGCTGTTACAGAGAGCGTCGAGTTATAAAGACTCGAAAACGATTGATGATTGCCACACGAGCCCTTTTTAGGTTTATGAACGAAGTGTACTCTCTCGTAAACCCTGTTTTTCATCAACTTCGTACAGGAGTCTTATATATTACACTTTCATAAAACCTTTAGGATATAGATGAGCGTTGATATACTCTTACGAGACTCGCTAGTGTATCCTTTAGAAGAGTCGTAGGAAAGAAAAGCGGTTTTCGAGGATTTTTGAAGTTAAAAACCGCTGAAGAGTATATTAAAAAGCAATTTATAAAATACCCCTTCCTATAACTTATAATAGTAATAAACCCCTGAAAACGGTTTATTACTCTGCGATTCTTTACACGGTCTGGACACTTTTTATAAAGTTAGATTGTATTTTTTCAAGATATTTAAAAGAATTAAAAAATGCTTAGAATAAATGCTCTACTAGCAAGATTTGTATTAATTTCAAGCTTGATCCAGTCTATACGATGATTGCCTCCGAACGTTAATTCCATAGGAATTAATAACACTGAATCAAAAGCAGTGACCCCTGTTTCATGATGTAAAAGATTAGTTGGATAAGATAAAAATATATCTGTCTTCGCTAGTTTCACATTATGTCCGACATGAGCACCTAGCCAACGAAGCATTCTAGGGAAAATGTGATCATAAGCAGATGGTAGCAACCAGGCATGGTGAAAACTTGATACAATCAATTGTCGAAGCCACAACTTATGCAAGTACGACCATCACGCAACTGAATATGTATCACCCGCACTACAGGAACCGACTATATATTTCAGTAAAATAAAAGAGATATTACAAGCAAAAATCGACTATAATATCCAACAGAAAGCTATATTAATGGATAATGAGACTGGTATAAATGTATAAATTTTACAGACAACAGTTAAAAGTAAACAGTGAATGCATATCAATAATAAAAGTGAAGTCATTTGAAACGTTTTATGTCATGTTGATAATATTCTGTTATTAGGACTACTCGAAATATTTTGTGAAGATAATTTATGGCCTTCACCATCGATAATTGTTCGAGATTTGATAAAACCAGTAACTGTTGGCATTGGTTGAACAATAATATTATCCTCCATAGTTACCTCATTAAATAGAATTGATCTCGTGCTAATTGAACAGTTGGATCCAATTTTGATTGGATATGGTGGAAGTGTTATTATCATTATAGTACAAACAATTAAGAAATGTTTGGTCAGCAATCCATGTTGCGTTTCCAATATCTAGTAACCACGGAGCATCGATAGTTGTAGTATAGATATGTGTATCTTCACCAATATATGCACCACAAAGGCGTAGATAACTGTTATAAAGCGGTGTACCAATCAAATGTTGTAACCAAAATGTATTAATATGCCACAATCAGTCTAAAAATCACCATCGATAATTATTCCAAGAAAATATTAGTTCATTTTCATTAGTGTAAAACGAAAATAAACGTGAACGTATAACGTAGACTATAAGATGAATTATTGGCATAACTGAGAAACAAAATGGCCATCATGTACTGTTCATCATAAACGGCCATAACCATTGACACATAAGAAACAGAACTCCAACAGATTCTATGAAAAGTGATGATCGACAATGGACTGGTAATTTATGATCATCATTATCGATGGTATTTGTCTCTCGTGATTCCTTTAGCAAAGGTTCTATCGCTTTCGTCCGCTGTCGAATAGATGGATTAGAAAGCAGAAGTGTAATATCAACTTTTGTCGTACACTTTCAGGCGAATCAGTGAGAGTGCCATTATAATATTCAATGGCGTACCACCAAGTTTATTCAGAGAAATATAAAGAACAGGATTCTCAATACTGAAAGCCTGACAGAAATCTCTTGTATTTGTTGTTCCAAACTCGTTTGTGGCACGCTATTTTCAGACTCATGCAGCGCTGATGAAAAAACAGGCGAAGGAAGTTGCTTGCGATCTATTTTCCCATTTAAATTTAGTGGTAATTTATCAAGAATAACAAGGAAAGATGGGATCATATGTGGTGGTAAATATAATTGGCAATGCTCTCGTATTTCCTTTTCGTGAATAGGAGAAGAGCGTTGAAGGTAAGCAACTATGCGATCTTCACCCCATTTCATCACAACACACGCTGATATAGATGTGATATTGAGTAGACGTCGTTCAATCTCGCCAAGTTCAATGCGTTGTCCATGTAATTTTAATTGATGATCCTTTCGGCCGAGATAGTAAAGCAAACCTTCGCTGTTCATGCGAGCCAGATCACCTGTTCGATAAAACTGTTTTCCATTGATGTTAAGTAGTGCTTTTTGATTTAAATCGTCGCGTCCTAGATAACCAGCAAAAACACCATGACCGCCTATAAGCAGTACCCCTTCTTGCCCAAGCATAACACTTTGATCAAATATATCAGTCAACTGTATTTGTGCTTTTGCAAATGGAATGCCAATCGCAACCGTTCCTTGCTCAAGCTCATCAATAGAGACTTTGCGATAGATCGAGGTCAATGTTGTTTCTGCGAGTCCTTATAGATTATAAAAATTTGTACTTTGTAAATGAGAATATTCAATCATTCTTGCCAATGTTTTGCAATCGATTGCTTCTCGTATATTGCACAAGTAGACAAAATGAACCCCTTCTTTTATAGAAGGAGTTAATGATACTCTGTAAAAGAACGCGTCATACTGAACCGTAAAAGGTTCCAGGTTTGGGTACGATTTTCAGAACCTTTCAAGGTTCGAGCACAATCTGTTTTTATCCAAAACTTTTTTCGATTTCCCTAAAAATGGTTCTAGCCTTTCACAGAAAAGCTCATGTTAGTCACTTTGCCTTCCATTCCACTACCTATTGTTTCTATATTTGATTACTTATTCTTGTCTTTTACCAGTCACTTCTACCCTTAACCCTATGCTTAACTACCTATCCCTTAGCGTATTTTATACGATCTACTTCTATTCGTAATTTTAACTTTATCCTAAGCAGAATTCTGTTACATCTATCTTTAGTTTCACGCCACATCGTATTCTTGGCACCTAATTTGACTAGTACAGTCATTGTTGTACGGAAGAAGCCTGTAAGATATTCCACCATATTCGATTTATAATTCGATTTTCGTAAACAAAGATAATATCAGTAAGAAATTGAAATCTTCTAAATCAAATTATCATTTCCACTTTCCTACAGAGTGAACGAATTATGATGGGGATATAATCTCACATTCCTGGCAGTGCTCATGCTCAGATCTTTGAAAAATCGGAAGTTACGATTTTTGAATATATTTATAAATGGAGAAAACTAACCTGCTCTCGTAGCATACGAAAATGTACCAAATTTATGTTGGTAGAAATAAATTTTGAAGTCACTGTTGAATAACCCGAACGAAAATTGAAAGATAAAAAGTGAATTTTTTCTGATTTATATGCAGGCTTACAAAAAAAACATATTTTTAATTGATTCAGTTTTAACGCGATAGTAATCAATTTATTTGTGTGAAGACATCATCATTCATCTCTTGCAAGATAAGATATTCAACAATGGGAATATCCAGAGATTCTCGGTGTTCAACACATGATTAAAAGTGGCAAAGAAATATCAGATTATAATTGCTTTATAAGTTTGGAAAGATTTTTTGCATTCTAATCGTAGTTCATATAGTTAAACAAAAAGTCTCATGTTTTCCCATACCGATTGATACTCATTTTAACTACCTAGTAGAGTAATATGAATAATAATTTCACGACTACTTCAAATGTGAAATTGGGAAACATTTTCTAATAAAGTTATTAAGATTATGTGAAGTTCTATTATCTTGCTCAATTTGAAAGATTTTAGAAATGGATATATTTCCAATGGGCGATGCGTGATGAATTCGTTTCCCGGCTTCTGATCGGACTGAAGATGAGACTCGTATTCCAACTACTTTCTGTAAACGAAGAAAAACATAAACAGAATGGTTTTGAATAGAACCATTTTCCGCCAGCTTTAAACCTTTCTAGTGAGTGTGAAGTTCCAGATAGAACTATTTAAAACTTATTAAACCATTTCCTGTCAGTAATTATTCGGGATGAGAAAAAATATGGTGCAATATAGGAGCTTTTTAAGTGTCTAGAGCTATTTTTCATCGGTAAATGTTCCTTATTTTAAAAAGTGGTGCAAATTAAAATCATTTTGGGTGCGCAGAACCATTTGATTCTCTTATATGGTTTTTTGAATTCTCTAAAACCTTTTGATGGTTTACTGGTAAACAAATGAAACCTTAAATAGCCTCCTATATTCCTTTTTATTACAGAGTAGAAACGACCGATATTATATATCAAGAATTTCTGCAAATTCAAGAAAAACTCTTGCGAGAGATCTTCAGAAAATATTTTCCTATGATAAAGGTCGCTTTTTAATGTGAACCTTATAAAAACTTCTCTTTTCTCCCTCCATACACATGGCTCTTACGAAGGAATCCAAAGTTTCGAATAATACTAAGACAATTCACTTGATTGATATCAATAAGATAATTAAGTAAGATTGTCATAACTGATGGAACAACACTAAAAAAGGTGATCGCCTTTTGTTTTACGATTCTGGANCGAATAGGAAAAGCGACAGGTGCACTCGCTTCTTTAAAACACCTTTGGAACAGCAAAAAACTGAAAATAGAAAATAAACTGAAAATCCTAAACACTTGTGTTTTCAGTGTCCTACTATACGCTTCAGAGACATGGACTTTAAAAGAAGTAGACAGAAAAAAGTTATTGGTATTTGAAATGAAATGCTACCGACGGATTCTAAGAATAAACTGGCAGGACATGATACGAAACGAAGATATTCGAAAAAGAATATCAAGAGAGGAGACGATAGTCGACACCATCAAAAAAAGGAAGTTGCGGTTGTTTGGCCACATCTGTAGAATGGACGACAGTAGATTGATAAAACATCTACTGTTTGGAAAAATCGATGGAAAATCTCGGAGAGGGTGTCCATGTAGAGAGTGGCTGGATGACATAATTGAGTGGTGTCAACTCAGTGGGCAGGAGCTGTTTCACCTGGCCCAAGATCGACAGGTATGGAAAAATCTGATCCCATAAAATGGTTGGCCCCAACGGGCGTTAAGCTTAAGGGCCATTCNACTCTGTAAAAAAAAGACGTCATACTGAGCCGTAAATGGTTCTAGGTTTGGGTACGATTTTCAGAACCTTTCAAGGTTCGAGCACAATCTTTTTTCATCCAAAACTTTTTTCGATTACCTTAAAAATGGTTCTGGCCTTTCACAGAACACCTCATGTTAGTCACTTTGCCTTCCACCATCCATTGGTTCTATATTTGATTACTTACCCTTGTCTTTTACCAGCCACTTCTACCCTTAACCCTATGCTTAACTACCTATCCCTTAGCGTATTTTATACTATCTACTTTATTCGTAATTTCAACTTTATCCTAAGCAGAATTCTCTTACATCTATCTTTAGCTTTACGCCATATCGTATTCTTGGCACCTAATTTGGCTAGTACAGCCAGTGTTATACGGAAGGAACCTGCAAGATATCCCAGCGTATTCGATTCATAATTCGATTTTTGTAAACAAAGATAATATTAGTAAGAAGTTGAAATCTTCTAAATCAAATTCTCATTTCCACTTTGCTACAGAAAAAACGAATTATGATGGGGATATAATCTCACATTCCTGGCAGCGCTCATGCTCAGGTCTTCGAAAAACCGGAAGTTACGATTTTTGAATATATTTAGAAACACAGAAAACTAACCTGCTCTCGTAGCATACGAAAATGTACCAAATTTCTATTGATAGAAGTAAATTTTGAAGGCACTGCTGAATAATCCGAACTTAAATTCAAATATAAAAAATAAATTTTTTCTGATTTGTATGCAGGCTTATAAACAAATATATTTTTAATTGATTTAGTTTTAACGCGATAGTAATCAATTTATTGTGTGAAGACGTCATCATTAATCTCTTGCAAGTTAAGATATTCAACAATGGGAATATCCAGAGATTCTGACAGTGTTCAACACATCATTAAAAGTGGCAAAGAAATATCACATTATAAATTGCTTTCTAAATTTGGAAAGAGCTTTTGCATTCTAATTGTCGATCATGTAGTTAAACGAAAAGTCTCATGTTTTCCCATATCGATTTATACTCATTCTAACTGCCTAGCAGAGTAATATGAATAATAGTTTCACGACTACTTCCAATGTGAAATTGGGAAACATTTTCTAATAAAGTTATTAAGATTATGTGACGTCCTATTATCTTGCTCAATTTGAAAGATTTTAGAAATGGATATATTTCCAATGGGCAATGCGTGGTGAATTCGTTTTCCGGCTTCTGATCGGACTAAAGATATGAGACTCGTATTCCAACTGCTTTCTACATACGAAAAAAAAACATCAACAGAATGGCTTCGAATAGAACCATTTTCTGCTAGCTTTAAATCTTTCTAGTGAGTGTGAAGTTCCAGATAGAACTATTTAAAATTTATTAAACCATTTCCTATCAGTCATGATTCGGGATGAGAAAAAATATGGTGCAATATAGAACCTTTTTAAGTATCTAGAGCTATTTTTCATCGGCAAAGGTTCGTTATTTTAAAAAGTAGTGCAAATTAAAACCACTTTGGGTGCGCAGAACCATTTGATTCTCTTATATTGTTTTTTGAATTCTCTAAAACCTTTTGATGGTTTATTGGTAAACGGATGAAACCTTAAATAGCCTCCTATAGTCCTTTTTATTACAGAGTAGAAACGACCGATATTATATATCAAGAATTTATGCAGATTTAAGAAAAGCTCTTGGGAGAGATCTTCAGAAAATATTTTCCTATGATAAAGGTTACTTTTTAATGTGAACCTCATAAAAACTTCTCTTTTCTCCCTCCATACACATGACTCTTACCAAGGAATCCAAAGTTTCGAATAGTACTAAGACGATTCACTTGATTGATATCAATAAGATAATTAAGTAAGATTGTCATAACTGATGGAACAACACTAAAAAAGGTGATCGCCTTTTGTTTTACGATTCTGGAAAGATAATCATAATCCATCGTTTTCTCGGGATGTAATTAAATAACTGAGCCGCCATTCATTAGAGTATCTAGACATTCTTTCACATAACGTCAAATATGCATTGTGCCATTTGAATGACATTTTCATATTTGGTTATTATTCCAAGAGATTCAAATGAAAACATACAGTTCCATAAATTATGATGCGTTATTTGAACCTTTTGAAATAAAAAAGATTCAAAAAAAAATTTGAAGACAAATTACCGCTTTCGACGTCCCTGTTGATCCACTAGTAAAAATAACAAAAGCGATGGTGTCACTTTTGCTTTCGATCGATGATAGTTGATCAAGGTGATTTTCATCAGCTATCTCTTGCTTGCCTATCATTCCCCTTGTATTGAGTAAAGTAATATTGTTTTCTTCGAATTTATTTTCTGTTGTTGAATCAACTAGAATACAATCACTTTGATTTTGTTGAAGTAGGTGCTGAAGTCGATTTCGAGGATCACGGGGTGACAATGGACAGTACGATCCTCCAACCATGATGATAGATAACATGGCAACAAACTGTAACATAACACTTAAACGAATGCAAACAATTGATAGTTCTCAACAACTTACCATTGATAAACTTCTCTCTACACATTGACACATAGAATCACCTGGATTGACATGATATTCATAGAAGATGAATAGACAACAATTGAACATAATATAACAGTTCACAACGTGTCAAACATTGATCATCAAGTTCCACAGATAATTTCTGCGGATGTGCCATTACTCGACAAACAAATTCATGATGAATACAAGTTGAATAAGAATATGATGTTTGTGTATTATTGATCGATTGAATAAGCAGTCTTTCACCAGATAACATTAATGATGTTTAACACATCGATTGATGGCGTTGATCGTTTGTATTGGGTGTGAAAAGCTGCTGAAGTAAACCGTGAAACTGTTGTAACATCTTAGCAATAGTTAATTCATTGAATAAGTCAGTAGAGGCATCAAGAGTGCATGATAATTGACTAGTTACTGGATTATATAAAATATTGAGAGAAAAGTCAAATTTACTTGCGATTTCAGCGTCATCGATTTGGACGGAATAAGGCATTGTTATAATAGAAATATCATTGATTGAGACTTTTGTGTCACTTGTTTCATTTGATATAGAACTGAACTGAAAGTATGTATCGAGAAATGCAGGGCGAGCATTGAGCGGATGTTGAGCAAGTATACGTTGAAGAGGAAAATAAGAGTATTCTATAGTCTGCGTTACTCGTTCTTGTAAATAATTTACAAATTGTTGAATAGAATGTTGGGAATTTATTTTGCATCTCATTAGAATCGCGTTGACAATCATTCTGATAATTGACATTAGCTCAGGTTTACAGCGACCATGATGGCTCATAACGATGCATATATCATTTTCACTATTTGTTAATTTAAACCTAGTCCGCCCATGCTCTTTTAGGATTTTTTGGAACTAGCCCTACAATTTAAGTTATGATATTTTACGTCTGATTTCACGCAGAGGGTATTAAAACAATGACCTTGTTAACTCTAGCGAAAAATCAAAACTAAATGTCATACTCTGTTAATTATAAAAAAACGTCTACTTCGGATGTGGGTAAAAAATGGCCCATGTTGGACGGACTAGGGTTAAATAAGAATATAAAATACGAAGCAAATGCCAAGTGTTCCAGTTGGATATTATTTATTGAAGCATAAGTAATAAAGGCACCTGAAAGATCTTTCGCAAATCGAAATGAAACTGATATGCCGCGGCCAGTGCGCTGCTCATCAGGCAGACGATGTCGATCAAATGGTAATGATAAAGGACGATCTATTATGAAATTTTGAAGAGTATCAGGCCAAAAGTTACTGGCTGCTACCATAGGCATTCGCTATTCAACAACTGAAACTAAAATAGAAAGCAGAAGAACAATGTTAAAAATATATTTGAAAAACTAATAGTATCCAATATACAATCAATGTAACGCATTGTTGTACTCTGATCATTTTCTAAATGACCATTCGTATATGTTTGATCAAGATCATGGTGGAATATGTTCATCGATGGGAAATCAAATAAAGCGTGATGAAATTTAAAATATTTGCATCCTTATCAGAAATCATTCTGTTACGACATATTTCTTTATAATATACAATATGACATCGACAGACAATCTCTTTAAATAAATTTAAATGGTTTGGATTTCCTCGTTCATTATGCATCATTTTAAGAAGATCTTTGTTCTTTTTAAATGTGCTCTCAATAAATGTAGATAGCTCATCATGGCTAATATCATTTAGTTCCTTAGCCCTTTAGTCACGGTTTTTTAAAAGATGAACCATTTTTTTCTTTCTAAAACAGTGTAAAATAACTTTTATTAATATGTAGAAGTATTTAAAAGTGTTTTAAAGTATGATAACCCTCAAAACAAGGTACCACACAAAGCCCGACGTTACAAGCATCACATTGATAACGTGTATAGGTACATTTTTTCTCCCGTCTGCTTGTAAGATTGCAAACTTTACAGACTATTGATCCGGCGTTTCCTGTTGCTGTTTCTGGAACCAGAGATGGAAAATGACGCGCAGTTAGACGTATTGGATTATCACCCATAATCGGACGACCGATCGGATGCTTGGGATCAGAGTATCGTTCGATCAATTGTCGAATTAATTCAATTCAGAATTCAGAAAATTGAATAGGTTTTTCCTGCTTCACTTTGAAAGGAATATACGCGTTCAATGTTGATAAGTCCAGTAGATGAAAAAAAAAGTTTCTTGTACCACTTGGCAGTTTTTCGTACACATTCTGTGAAACTGATCTGCATATCAGTTTTGTCCACCAACCCCCCATTTTGTTTATTATCCTCAACTATACATTCGGGTTTTGCAATTACTTTTTGAGTCTTCCAGTCAGTTTTCGGTGTTGAAATCATTCTCGGTTTGTGAATTGTAGACAACATAAAGACATATCGTTTATCTTGTCATTTCAAAGCCATAAGAATTTTAGTTTTGTTATAGTCAAAATTACCTTTCGTCAATGGGCTGAACATTACTGGGCCAAGACGGTTTTTGCATATAGTTCCACACGCACCTGTTTTGAATTTATGTAATCTTTCGAATAGGTGAGGACTAGTATACAGGTTATTGAGAAAAAGTGAATGCCCCTTATTCAAATACGGCTTCATCAAAGTCATCGCTGCAGAACCAGATATACCTAAATTTTTGTCGAGCTCAAATTCCGTAGAAGAACCCGTGTATACAACGAAATCCAAAACCATTCCTGTTTGGCAGTCGCAGATAACGAAAATTTTGATACCGAATCGATGGTGTTCAGTAGGTATAAATTGTTACAAGGCCAAACGACTCTTCCAAAGAACGAGATTTTCATTTATGCGTAAGTGTTTGAAAGGATCAATAAGTAATTTGAATTTCTTACGTAGCTCATTAATTATTGGTTTGATTTTATGCAGTTTATCGTCTTCTATTTGATTTGATTTATTGCTAAAATGCAAGTATTTCAAAAGCATCACAAATCTATCTCTTGGAAATAGTTGTCCGAACATAGGTGTGATAATCAATGGATCAGTTGACCAGTAGTCAAGGATCTTATTGTTTTTAGTTATGGCCATTAGCATAAAGATTGCTAGAAAAGTGTATATGTCCGAACAATTTGTCGGTACCCATTTTGTCTGATGTGTAGTTTTATGACGTGCTGCATCATGCGTAGAAGAGTCATGATACTTGTTCCTTTGTTCCACGATGATAACAATTATTTTTTTGTTAAAGAGTAATTCAAAATAATCAAGAGGAGTATGGTTTTTCCATAGCGTTAATTTTTGATGAAACACCAGAGTTTTGCTTGTCGAAGTGAAATAGATGTGGTTCAAAAGTAGTTTTACTCCAGTTTAGATTTACAGATTCTTCTCCCTGTGTTAGTTCGTCGTTTGATTCGTCGCTATCCACGTCTGATGAATAAACTTCATCAATATTCATTTTGAAATCATCTTCAGATCCACTATCCCTCTCGATTTCATGCGAAGCATCATATGTAGACGTTGTCATATTTTGCGAAGAATTTTACGTAATAGATATGGATAATAAATTGTTTATATAAGAATACACATATAGAATAACAAAAGTTTATTTCGATTCTCTAAAAATATATATTGGAAGATATGATTAGCTTCTTGTGTAGAATGTGCAGTTTGATTATATGAGAGAACGTGTTGAAAAAAAGAAAAAGAAGAACAATAGAACAGAATATATTAAAAAATGTAGAAATGAGAAGCAGAAGTGTCAGAACACAAGAAAGAGCACATAAACACGCACAGTTATTGGCGACGATGACGTAATAATATTACCAAGATACGAAAAAAAGAGAGGAGTCTTTTCGATCAAGTCTAAATGATACTACAATGACAGTAATATCTACAAAACTTTAGACACCATAGATGTTTGGTCCGTAACTAAAGGATTAAGTACTAGTATACTAATTTTACATGCAGTACTTGTACTTCTCCTAGCTCTGCAATGGCCCGATACAGAATGTTTTGCTTTATCCATCGCACCGATTTAAAACAATTTAAGTGGAAGATTAATGTTTCTTTTTTTAAAATACTAAATTCCGAAAAAAATCCATATGCAGGACTATATCCCCGATCGATCATGTGACTTCTCGAACCATATACTGCATGATATTGAGACTGAGATTTCTTTTCGAGTTTATCGTTCTTCTGCTAGCTGTCCAATTCCATTAACATCATCTTTTGGTCTTCCGAGTGCGCAATAAACTCCTTTCCTCTCTGTTTTTTCCTGACAAATTGCTCAAATTCATCTTTGCTATCCTTCGGGTAACGTAAGACATGATACTTCTTTTACTCATTCTCTCGACGCACTGAAAAAAATCCGTTGAATGATCTATCCTTTTACTGTTTATTTCTGCTGATAAACTCTTCAAGGGTTTATGGTCTGCTAATAAAGCCTTCAAAGGTATGTTGAACATTGTGTTTATCAACCATAGGGTATATGGGCATTTAACGGGTACATCACATTTACGAAAGCGTTTTTACGAAGGTATTCCAGTGTAAGCGTCTGTTGTTAAACGTTTAGTCATATACCAATGTTCGGTATTGAGGCAACGGTATATTATGATACGATCTGAGGTTTATCATCTTACTTGTTGTGCCAAAGGGTTTATCAGTCTACTAATAAAGGTTTATCTTTCTTCTTTTCGATAATCAATATATTATTCTGCTGGTAAAGGTTGATTCTTCACTAGATTGAATTATACGGTATATTATCCTTCGGATAAAACTAATCTATCTTTTGTTCATTTTCGAAAGGTTTATCCATACACAGTTAAGTGCTGAGGTACCTACACTGACTTGAAAATGGCTTGTCATTCTATGGATCAAGGTTGATCACCCTCCGCCTTTCTATGACGGGTTTATCCCTGTATTTGTTAGAAAGAACTTTTTCATTGTAAAGAATTTATTAGTGCTGCTCCAGTACCGATTCATTTCCATTTATGACTGCAAGAAAGTTTTGTCAGTGATGTGCAATGCACAACAAAATCATGAGTTTGAAAATATATCCAAAAATGTAAGAAATTGCGCGAAAAATACGTATCGAAGTTCATTTTATACTTGGCATCTGAGAAAAAAATTGAATTTTTCATCGTTTATACGTTTTCATATTCG